GCCGATGACCGTGATCTCAGACCAGTCGGTCATGATCACCGTCAACGACGACCCAAGCACCCGACTTCTCGGAGACGCGCATTGCCACAATGATGATGTTCATATTGTCCCCATTTTTCCGCTACATTATCGACATTTACAAGAGTGGCTGCTTCGCGGCTGATATGGCCAAGGCTCTGTTGATCGACCGACGCAACTTACTGCGCGACGGTAGCGTCACGTCTATCCGAATATACGTCTTTGATGCTTGTATTCGCGCGGTAATGTTGAAATAGTATGCCCGACCAGCAAAGTTGAGATCCAATCTCATCCAGTGCAAGTAGTTGGGCAACGGACCTCGCGCGGAGTTTCAGATTTGGTTCGACAGCAAGTGTTTCAATATGGCCCTATGGCTTCCCGCACATGACCTCCTGGCGCGTGTATAAATTAATGTTCGTCAAGGACGAGAAGGGGGAAATGGTCAAGACGATTCGCCTTCGATTGGTTCTGCGAGGACGCGTGGACCTGGAGGCCTTCGACGTCGAAGCCTTTCCAGGAATGGCGCGAAGAGCAAGCCGGCGTTTGCTGGCCAGTGCGGGAGCTTGCCAGCCTGACTGGACTATCGCGTCTATGCATGTAGACATGGCCTGTCTACAGGGCTTCACAGATCGTGAACTTGCCGAATCCACTGAAAAGCGGGAGCGCCTAATGCTTCACCCTGCAACCAGGCTCTGCCTCGGCGCTCCGAACCTCACCTGTTTTCGAGAAGTACGACGAAAGGAAGCACTGCCTTAAGTGCCTCGAGCCAGGCGCTGGGATGAATAACGCCCAGCGCGCCTTTTCCTTGAAGTTGCGCAACATCGCGCGCGGCTTCGGACGTCGAGCGCCCTGCGACGCAGAGCTCGAAACAGCGGAGACGCGACTGACGGCCAAACACGTAGACGATATAAACGTGAATGGTAAAGAAGAAATGATCGATCGCCACGTGGATTGCGTTGAGCACTCGTTTGGCACGCGCAAGCTCAATATCCACGCTTGCGCCAAGTGTCCGTCATATGCATTAAAACCGACAGGCGACGTCGCTCTGGGTCGGGGCGACTACATGCAACGATTCCGCCCCTTCCAACGTTCAAAACTCACGGGTGCGGGGGCCGAGGAAAAGGCTGCCAGCGTTGTCGCAGACACGTTTGTTAGCCTTCGCGGGGCACTCGCACATGCCCTTGTAGCCCAAGTCTGGCGGATGGTTCCATTCGTCTCGCTACAGAAGGCGCAGGGACCCACGAACTTACAGGCGCGGCAGCTTAACGCGATCACGCGCAAACTTCGGGGGGGACCTGAGAAGTGATCTTATCCTGCCGTGAAGCCCACCGGAGAAATCAATCTCCACGGCGACTCATGCTACCGACGGTTGACCAGAGACGCTCTAGAGGAGACCAACAATTATGGCATCAGAGGTGCCGACCTTCTCAGGCGCGGAAAAACGCGCGATGGCAAAATTATCGCGCGCCTGACAGGTGCGTATTGCGAACCACATTGATTGCAAGTTAGGTCAGGCTACTCTGTGGAAGCGCTAGCAGCGGCCCACATCCTAGAAGACTGCTACCCGACCACTATCACCCTACACGAACTCAAGAGTGGACTGCAAACACAAACGCGATTCAATACTGTAATGGAAATTGGTGGTCTATGGATTCAGGTTTTTAATGCTACTGACGCTACGCTGAACCCGTATTCCAGTCCCTATCTAGCAAGGATCTTGAGAAGCCTATTGGAAGCACGCTTTTGAGTCGCATTAGCTGGATCAGACGGATGATGGGTAGGCGTTTAATATGGTGTGCCACGCGGGAAATTATTTTTGATGGACAGACCAAAGGCAGTATAGACCGCGACCTACTGTTACAAGTAACGGGTATTCAATTTCTCAAGCACTAATTGAAGATTTAATATGCACCCTACAGGCTCAGGCATCAAAGGCTGAGCCTGGCTTTCAATGAGCCGGCGGAACATGCAGTCCTTGCGTGGGGACGCGCTGAAGTGCGTAAACCTTTACCGCCTATGATGATGATTTCTGTGCTCTGTGACTGTGTTTGTTGCGTGGGTACACACTGGCTTTTGTGCTGTGTGCGTGGGCGCGCGCCATTTCCAGTCTGCTATCTACTAACTTCGCAGTCACGACTCTGGCCTCTGGCACTTGGCCGAGTCGGGCGCGGCTTGCCGCGGCCGCTACTTCTGTCGCGCGTGGGCATTCAAAGCCTCGAAGCAGTTAGGAGTTCCATTTCTTTCAGGCTATGTGCGCACTTCAGCACTGTTATGCGCAACGTGTAGTCCGACGCTCGTCACCGCTCGTCTTCTCCCTAGTCGACTTTGAACGTAGGTGAGCCCGGGCGTTGCGAGCGTCCGCGCCGCCGTTAGTTGTTCAGGCGGCCGGCGCCCAATTTGCCCGGATCGTAAACGAAGCTATCGATCCGCTACTGCATCGGAAAAGACTCCTACTCCTGGAAGATGCCTCCCACATTTATCCTTTCCTACCATTGCTACATATCACGACGTCTACCTCACGTATTGCCGCTGGTGCGGGAGCCTTTGGGGGGGAGCAAGGACGGTTGCAGTGCGAAGGATGCTACGACAATGCTTAGAGGTTGTGCTATTTGGAAGTATCGTGGCTTGGCGTTTGCGCCACACGCCCGTCATTCGGACTGCAGAGCCGCTTCGCGGCAGTCCAAGCGTGGAGACGTCAGGCTTGCCGCCTCTGCTGCCGACCCCGTGTTTCAGGTGGTGCCGGACAGGGTTGTCCTCTTCTGCTCCTCACTCCCATTCCTCTTCGTCTCCCGCCCGACCTGGTGCGTCTTGGAGTGCCGTTTGGTCCTTTGTGGCTTCATCTTGAAAGATTCGGGGCCCTCGTTGGGAGTCTCTGGCGCGCGTCCCAGGCAGAGGAGGGGGAGGAACTGGAGGGGGATAAGCAAAAGAGAGGGTGGCGAAAGTCATATAAGATGAGAGGGGGCATATTCGGGCGTCCCGTGATCCAGTTGATGTTATCGTGGGGTCTTTTTGGTTGGGTGCACGTTTGGGTTGTCTACATAATTCGGATTGCGATTAGGTGCTGCGGCTGTCCAAGCTTTTCGGTTGTTTTCGGGATCTGGTGGAGTCCTTGGGTACTTGACCCGAGCTGTCTACATCATATGCATGCGCCAGTTTTGCATTTGTTGTCCGCGTTGCGTTCTCATATCCCGCTAGGTCAGCTGGTGTGGTTCCGATCTGGAACTGGCGTTATTATAACATCGTCGTCTTCATCCTCCCATGAATGCGCATATGATTTCTTGGCTGACGGTTCGGATTATACGTCGCGGTAATTTGCGGTTTAACGGTGACAGTGATAGTAGCTTTTGGAAACAAGTCACTCGCCCACGTACGGCGTCGTCGTCGTCCTCATACGAATCAGAATTTCCTCTCTTGGCAGATGGGTCAGAATCCCTCTCCCATTCCAGTCAAGACGCTGAAACAGGGGCCACTTGGGGTTCGGGATTGGACTGTGGTTGTCGGGCTGTTTGTTTGATCTGGGCCGGGGAACTTCTCCGTGGCCGAGGTTCGCCGTGGCCAGAGAAGCGCTTTTGTTCCTTACGCAGGGTTCTTTATGGTGCGCGATGACTGTAGCCGTTGCTCTAAGTCTGGTTTATCTTTCTGTGACGGCTGGCGGGTTAGTCGACCACGTGTGCTCCGTCGCCGTCGTTCTCCCATGCGTGAGCAGTTGTTCTCTGAGGTGGTGGGTCAGATTCAGCCTCTGCTTTAACTTTGACATGTGCTTTCTTGTTGTTGACGGTTTCGTCGTCCGCGTGGGCCGTCGTCTTCCCCATAGTATAGGGCAATGGCTCTCGTGGCTGATGGGTGAAAACCCTCTCCCATTCGCTTCTGCATTAGCCTGGACATTATGTTTGTGATAGCTAACGGGTCAGTCGCCCACCTGTTTCGTCGCAGTCCTCCTAGGTTCTCGGAATGATCGTCCTCCCTTCATGAAGGAGCAATTGCTCTCTGGGCTGATTTGAGTCTGGACTGTTTTTTTGTGATGGCTAACAGGTCACTCACCCACGTTCCGATTACGATCACCTTGCATCACCTTGCTACTATTGCATCGGATTCTCTGTCTCCGTAGCCCCCCCCTGGTGCCTGGTGGGGTCCTGAATGGCCTGTGGGATGCCACCACTTCAGCGGTGGCGCTCGCGCGCAGCGGACATGCTGGAAGAGATCGCGCGGTTGCGTCGTTCTGCCAGCGGCTCCCGCGAGCAGTCATCCTTGCGGCCAGCCTGCGTCTCGTTTGTGGCTTGGTTTCCAGACAGGCCTGCCCGAAGAAGGAAGAGCAGTGGAGAGAGAGAGGGAGAGAGGGCGAGAGAGAGAGAGAGATAAAGAGAGCGAAAAAGAGAGAGAGAGAGAGGCCAGCCGAAGGAGTTGATGAGGAGAAAGAGATAGAGAGAGAGAGAGAGTGAGAGGGACCTTCAGAGATCGCAGCAAAGATGCGTGCAGCGGGCCCCTCGAGGGCACACGTCCCTCCGACCCGCGATCACAGATCAAAGATGGTCGAGCACACCCTCGAGCCTAGAACCCGCGGCCTTGCAGTGGCATGTCATCATCGGCCGACTTGCTGAAGTGACTTGCGCACGTGCAAGGTTCTTGCACCCCGTGGCAAATCAGGAAAGTGGCATATATATATATATATGGCCATAACCATCGCATCAGCTTTCAGGAGGCTGGCAATGTTGAGAACGAGTGAAGCTTTCGTGGACCAGCCGAAGGGACAACCATCACGGAGCTGCTTGGGACGCCGAGGGCTGCAGTCGTCAATATGCGGTTTGAGCCTTGGGGGTCACACCAGGGGCCTGCTTTGTGAGGATGAGAATAGAAATGGTGATGGTGTTGGTGCTGGTGGTGGTGGTGGTGTTGTTGGTGGTGGTGTTGGTAATGACGAGGAGGAGGAGGAGGAGAAGGATAATGAGCAGGAGCCGTCTTTTATCATCGAGTGGCGACGAGAGGTGGCGGGCAATTTTGTCAAGCAGTTCTACAACGTCATGGGCAAGAACCCGCAGGACTTATACAAGTTCTACAAGGACGACTCCGTCCTCTGTGTGTCGCGTTGTAGCATGGGCGGCGGACAGCCAGGGACCACCGTCTCGGTAAAAGGGAAGAGGGAGATCCGCAACACGGTATCCGCGCTGACGATCGGCAAAGCGACGATCCTCAATATGGACTTCCAGGAGACGCCGGGTGGGGGTACGGACGCGTTGGTTGAATGTGGACAGGGGAAGAAAGATGAGGAGGAGGAGGAGGAGGAGGAGGAGGGATAGAGGTGGGGAGAGGGAGGTGGTCCGATGGGTGGACCCCAGAGCTCTGGATTTCGTCCTGGCGCCCGGCGCCCGGTGAGGACCCCCAGAGGCGGAAAACGACAAAACACCGCCCGCTCCAATTTTTGTTGGAGCGTCGGATCTCTGGGTCTAGTCTTCCTCCCCCTCCCCTGCCACTGCCCCTGTGGCTCACGGATAGGACCAGCGCCCCCGCGGAGGAGCTCCCCAGGGCAGCTGGAAAGGCACCCCCCCTATCGCTCGCTCGCTGCATTTGGCATGGGACCCCGCTTGAGAAGGAGAAGGGCGAAGCGTTAAGTTAGACATATGGGGGGTTCGGCATAGGGAGGAATACAGCGATCCCCAATCGCCCATTGATCTCCGATAGGGGTATGATAGCCCCACCCCGCCCAGGAACGTGCGGATTTGCTATCGGGAGCCTATCGTCGATCTATCGGCGATATATCGCCGATTCCAGTTCGATATTTCCCACCCTAGGCCAGTCCCCCCTGTCGTTGCCCCTCAGACGAGGAGGAGGAGGTGGAGGAGAAGAAGGAGGAGGAGGAGGAGGAGTAGGAAGAGGAGGAGGAGGAGGAGGAGGAGGAGGAGGAGGAGGAGGACCAGAGCAAACCAGGATGCCTCAGCGATGCTGCAAAACACCCTCCCGTCCCAAGGCCCCCCCACACGTCCCTACAATATGTCATGTTCGTCGTAAGAAGCGCTCCCCTGCAGAGACTGGCGCGGCTGGGCCTGCCCTTTTGCGGCGAGGGCACTCTGCTTGGAACAGGAACTGCCTGGCATCGCCCAGGCGCACAATCAGGAGTGCGAGATCCCCTCTTCGACGAAGGATCACCCCCAGCCGATTTCGGAGAGGGATCACCCCCTTTTCGAAGAAGCATCGCCCCCTTTTCGAAGAGAAGGACACCCTTTTCGAAGAGAAGTATCCACTCCTCGAGAGTGCTGCACCAGTTCGCGCGCGTGGTCTCTCCTTCCGAGAGGAGGTCGTCTCGGGCGAGAGCTCCCCGTCGAAGAGGATATCCGCCCTGGACCGGTGCAGTGCTGCACGTGTTGGGACGTCGAGCTCTCAGGATTCACGAGGTCCCAGGCCAGAGCCCAGTCTTGAAAAAGTAGGGGCCCACATGCGAGCCCTGCCCCCTACCCACCCACGACTTCTGAGGGGGAGGGTGGGGTCCACTTCGCTCGAGAGCTTCCGAACGAAGCGAACCCCACCTTCCCCCTCAGAAATCGTGGGGGGTAGGGGTAGGGTTCGCATGTGGCCCGCTAAAAAGACCAGCCGTTGATCCTCCTAACCGTTTCGCAAAAAGGGAATGAGCGCGGCGCGAAGGCTAGAGTCCCGTTCTGAAGATGACTTGCGGTCAGTACCGATACTTGCCGCAACATTTAGGGACGAAAGTGTGCGGCGCTAATGCGAGACCTCCTTTGTGAAAAGGAACCGTCGTCCATCCGTGAAACTGCGACACAATGTTAGACGAATGTTCGCGTCGCTAAGACGAGAGCAACATGCATCCTTAAGGTGTGAAAGAGCGTGTTCTACCGCTGCTGGCGGAAAACCGGAGGGGGGTCACTACCGGTTCGAACCCCTCCCCCCCCCCTCCAGAAAACCGGGGGGGGTCACTACCGGTTCGAACCCCTCCCCCCCCCCCCCCCCAGCTCATCATGAAAAGGGGGGGGGTCACTACCGGTTCGAACCCCCCCCCCCCCCTCGAAAGCCGAGTGGGGGTGCGGACAGTGGTGGGGACGGTGTTGGTGGGGACAGTGGTGAGGGGACAGCGGGACAGTGGTGGGGACAGTGGGACAGTGGGACAGTGGTGGGGACGGCAGTGGTGGGGACAGTGGTGGGGACAATGGTGGGAACAGGGGGGACAGTGGACAGTGGTGGGGACGGTGGTGGTGGGGACAGTGGTGGTGAGGACAGTGGGAATGAGGTGGAAACAGTGGGATAGTGGAGGGTACAATGGTGGTGGGGACAGTGGTAAAGGCGGTGGCGAGGACGGCGGTGGGACAATGGGACAGAGGTACAGTGGGGACAGTGGTGGGGACAGTGGGGACAGTGGTGGGAACAGTGGGACAGCTCAGTGGGACAGCGGAGGAGTCAGTGGGACAGTGGGGACAGTGGGGATAGGCAGTGGTTGGGTTCGTGGAGACAGTGGGGAGAGTGGAACCGTGGTGGGAACAGTGGTGGGAACAGTGGGGAGTGGGACAGTAGTGGGGACGGTAGTGGTGGGGACAGTGGTGGGGACAATGGTGGGAACAGGGGGGGACAGTGGACAGTGGTGGTGACGGTGGTGGTGGGGACAGTGGTGTGGGGACAATGGGAATGAGGTGGAAACAGTGGGACAGTGGAGGGTACAATGGTGGTGGGGACAGTGGTGAAGGCGGTGGCGAGGACGGCGGTGGGACAATGGGACAGAGGTACAGTGGGGACAGTGGTGGGGACAGTGGGGACAGTGGTGGGAACAGTGGGACAGCTCAGTGGGACAGCGGAGGAGTCAGTGGGACAGTGGGGACAGTGGGGATAGTCGGGCAGTGGTTGGGGCCGTGGAGACAGTGGGGAGAGTGGAACCGTGGTGGGAACAGTTCTGGGGACAGCGGGGACAGTGCGACAGTGGTGGGGGCACTGGTGGGGACAGTAGGGGCGGTGGTGGAACCAGTGGGGACAGTGGTGGTGAGGACAGTGGTGCTGGGAACACCAGTGGGGGATGTGATGCGGACGGTGGTGGGGACCGGGAGTCGTTTGCTGGCGGTGAGTAGGGGGGGGGGGGGGGGGGGGGGGTCCGAACCGGTAGTGACCCCCCCGGTTTTCCGGATCCGGAGGGGGGGGGGGGGGAGGGGTTCGAACCGGTAGTGACCCCCCCCCGGTTTTCGAGGGGGAGGGGGGGGGGAGGGAGGGGGGGGGGGGGGGGTTTTGCCGGGGGGGAGGGGGGAGGGGGGGTTCCAGCAGGGGGGGGGGATTTTTCGGGGGGGGGGGGGACCTCCGGGTTCCAGAGGAAAAGGTTGGCAATTTTCCACAGTAAAGCGGCGGTGGATCACGCTCTCTCTAAGGTGTCGGAACCTGTCAAGACGAAGCGGTGCTCAGGCGAGAGCCACATGTTGAACATCGTTTGTGCTTCACCCTTGAAGCTGCTGCAGATTGCTTATGGCAAATACTGCTAAGGCGCGAGCCACATCTTGACAGTCAACAATCCAGACGATAGTCTACGCATAGCTTGCATACTGTAGGCCCCAGTAAATTTATTCAGATCCTGCTTATTGCCTACTCTAGACCACTACACAGCCTACCTACGCGGTTACTTTAGGTTCATTCATAGCCTATGCATAGGCCGATGGTAGGCTTAGGTACAACAACTCAATGCGTATGCCTAAAGCTCATGCGCCGTGGGGCTTATCAGAGCATATTAATCCGGCTACCGTAGGGCTCCGCGTGGCTTTGCGATAGGCTTATCATGGGGCTAGGCGCAGCCTGTCTATAGGCTGATTCAAGGGCAATCGATGGCTTGTCGCACGGCCTGCTGGTTCATCTCCGTAGGGTCCATCCAATGCGTAGGCCCATTGTAGCCCCATGCGCAGCCTATACACAGGCCTGTCATAGGTCAATGTCTAGCCTGTTAACAAGTCTACCATGGGCCAGCGGATAGCTCGCGCACAGGTCTATCCACGGATCAACTCCAGGTTGCCGAGAGTGGTGATGGGGCCAGCGCGGAGCCTCTGCGCAGGCCTGCCACAGGTTTGTGCGCAGGCTGTGCACGGGGCAACTCTAGATCTACACCTGGCATGCGCACATGCCTGCTTACGCCCAGCCTCTTCTTACTGGCCTCGAACGTATCCCTATCCCTAAGATTGACACGCCAAAAGGCGATGACAATCTTAGGGATTCGCCCTCAAAACATAAGGGAATCCCTAAGATTGATATCGTGATGAGGAGGTGCCCAGCATAGGGATAGGGATATGTTCCAGGCTGGTAATATTCGCAGGCGCACAGTGGGCCTCGCTTGGGCGTGCAGACGGGTCGGCGCACCGCGATCGGCCCGCATAGAGCCTGCGCAGGCCTACCATAGGCCAGTGCAGCGGCTAGGCATGCGGATTTGGTGGGCCTCTGGTGGGCCGCGATTGGCTTACGCACAGCCTGCGCAGGGACCTACCATATGCCTACGCATCGGCTATGATTCATACATCCCCAGGCCGAAAGTTTTTGTTCCTCTTGCGTGGGAAGGCATGGATCCATGTGGATCCAATTACGTGTGTGCGAGAGCCACGTGGATCCAAGTATGGATCAAATTTTTTCCCGGAAAGGGCCTGAGCCCAGGGTTCTCTTTTAGTTGGTTTCCCCCCGGTTTTGACGGCTGTAGGGCCGGCGAATTTCTTTTACGATAAATAACGAGGTCGCGTAGGGCCTGCGAATTAAAAATTGAGGATGTCCCTAGCGAAACGCTTGTTTTTCAGAATGTGTTGAGGATGTCTCGAGCGAAATGCTGGTTTTGCAGAGTTGGGGATGTCTCGAGCGAAACGCTTGGTTTCAGAATTTGTTGAGGATGTCTCGAGCGAAACGCTGGTTTTGCAGAGCCGACCGCGACACGGAAAAGCGCCCCTCGCGCAGGAATTCTGAGGATGTCTCGCGCGTGCCGCGTCCCGCGCGCAGGAATTTAGATTTTTTGGGATTTTGAGAGGATGTCTCGAGCGAAACGCTTGTTTTTCATAATTTGTTGAGGATGTCTCGAGCGAAACGCTGGTTTTGCAGAGTTGGGGGATGTCTCGAGCGAAACGCTTGCTTTTCAGAATTTGTTGAGGATGTCTCGAGCGAAACGCTGGTTTTGCAGAGTTGGGGTATCTAACATGGCGTCGGGCCCAACGCCGAATTATGATGAAAAGTGATGGCTTCTTGCTCTGAACAGGGGGGT